ATGAAGATTTCTGTCTTCTGGGTTGTTGCGCTGTGTGGTCTGGTAGATGTTAACCAACGTTTAAAAGGTCATACTGCCTCCGTCATCAGGGCGATTAATAGGTAAAAATGTATCTGATAACATGATAGAAGCGTGCATCACAAAACCCTGGTATTCAAACACCGCGTTTTGTTACAGTGCCTTCAAGACCGGCATGCAATGCTTCGACCAATACGCAGCCACGTGTCTGAATGGTGACGAACGTGAAGTGATGAACAGAAATGTAGCAGGTGCAAGACACACGTTCAGCTACCTCTGTGACGACCCTTCGTTCCAGACAGGTAACCTAAAGTCTCCATGTATGCAGATGTGAACACCCATTACTGTTTTATGATACAACATGTTGTGGTTGCATATTGTTTAGATGAACATCATGCTGTCCTCAAACATTATTAAACAAAGTTTGTGATGTATAGGTTAGAGTATAGCAAACCCAACGTAGCAGAAGTGTGCCTTGTCTTTTACCCATATTACTCGTCACCACATACAAAACAAAGTAGCAACTCACCACGCGCAAACATATGTTACGAATATATTAATAGTTTTTAACATTGTGTTATGACATAATTATTTACTAACCAATTAACTATCTTCAAGGTAGAAGTAGATATTAACTCGGCTTGACAAGATTTTCCAGCTTTTATAGAAGTTTACAAGAATCCAACATTGGACCGTATATTAAGGCTTTGACCGGGATGTTCTTTTGTTAAATCTTATGTGGTACCGCCTGATTCGACTTCTAATGGTTAAGTGAAGTGTTTTCTTCGCGGTACGGTCTGGATTCGTAAATATTATGAAGACGAGCTTCGGCTTCAAACGGTTAACCAGCTGATTTTCGTAATGGTGAGGTGTAGTGTTTTCTTCGCGGTACGGTCTGGATTCGTAAATATTATGAAGACGAGCTTCGGCTTCAAACGGTTAACCAGCTGATTTTCGTAATGGTGAGGTGTAGTGTTTTCTTCGCGGTACGGTCTGGATTCGTAAATATTATGAAGACGAGCTTCGGCTTCAAACGGTTAACCAGCTGATTTTCGTAATGGTGAGGTGTAGTGTTTTTTTCGCGGTACGGACTGAATTCATAAATAATATTCAGACGATCTTCGGCTTCAAAGGGTTAAGTCAAATGAATAAACACACATCCCATCATCACACCTGTCACCTTTAAGATATATTTTACAGGTGGAATAAATGAACTGATGAAATAATATATGTTTATATACACGTTTACAAAAAAAAATCATTTTAAACAAATTTGTATATTATTTTATGCCTGAAATATCCGACAAATTGATGCCATTTTGGGATTCTCTAATAAATCAGTTCCTATGATGGCGTCATGTAGATTCATCGGTAGAAATATACTATCTCCATCTTCCGTGTTGAAGAGCACCGTACTGACAAATATATACAGCTCCAAAACCCAGAACAGAAAATCAACGTTAAAACCTCAAATCTCACAAATAATTTGTGTTAATGTGTTTCAAATTTGCTGAGAGTAAATCTTTGTAATAAATTATGACAACAAATTTAATCGCCAATTATATTAATACACATTTAACATAATACTAATAATTGTTATGAAGTGTAATTATAATATAAAGGCCATAAATTTGTTATTAAACTTAATAAATATAAAAATAAATTACTTGCTTGGCATATTTTCAACTATCACTTATGAAAATGAAGTGATGTGTTGTGGAAATATTATTTTTTAAAATCTGGCTGGTTAGATTCAATTCATTTGTTACAAATTGTGCATAATTTTTACTGTAAATTAACAGTGAAATTTTAACTAATTATGCCGGATTTCAATGACCAATCTGAATTCCATCCAATCAAATGTAGTTTTATCTCGTAAACAGCGGTTGCACAATCCGATAGAGTGAAACAATATTAATGAATTAAGCTTAAGCCTACTTAACGTATGTGTACATCACTCAAAATTCCTACTGCACTTCTAAAACATAGGTCCAGTCTAGGGTAGAGAGATATGTCAAACATTACAATCGATGTACTATTTCAATTTAATAGCCAATATTTTACATTACCTGTAATTATAAAACAATCAATTCAGTCTTCGTGTGGAGGTAAAATTTTTATAATTACTTAGTTATATTTTTCTAAATAAATAAACATAATTTATGATAAATTTCCGATAATTATTTTGTTTCCTCAAAGTCTAGTCTATGCTGATACTGACGACGAACCTCGCACACCAGTGGTACGCGTATCATAGGTTGAGAAACACTGTCATAGAGGATAATACATGATATTGGTTGGTCTATACCTAGAGGAAGGATACGTCTTTGGAGACCTAAACGTAGATGTGAGGATAATATTAAAAGGATCTGAAAAATATATTCTGTGAAGAGTGTAAACTGGATTCAGTTTCGCCGTATCTGATCCAGTAATGTTTATGTGAACACGGTAATGAACCAATTATTTTAATACAGGACTGAGATACAATCAGCTTCTCAAGAAAATCTCAGCTGTGTTCTGATTCTCGACAGTAGGTACAAGAGAGAGGTTAGTTTAGTTAATTAGACAAAACGTTGGGTGAGACCCAGAGGACGTGGTGGTGATGAGAAAAATTCTGTTCCCTTCCGAGAATCAAACCCTGGTATTCCGGCCAGTAGGTCGTCATTATCATTACACTGAGCTACCCCGACTAGTTTCTGAAAATACGCATAATTCAAACTGAATTACACCATACACGTCCACAATTACGTAGCACAAGAGAGTGAATATTTTACCCTAGAGTAATGATGGCATTAACATCATACGAGAAATGCAGTTGGTTCTGTGTATCTACAGAAATCATTACATCACAAACACGAAACGTAGAGAGCACTGTTATGTCTAGAGGCATAACAGAGGGAACTCCAATCGATTTTATTCTCGATATAAACGAGTGGCAGCTGTACCAGTGACACGGCGACGGAATACATGCTAACTTGACTTCGATAGTAATTATCGATTAACAAAGAACGACCTCTCGCAGTAGTAAATCTGTTGTTCATGGTAACCATGTGTATGCATAATTCTATGAAATCTCCGGGATATACTAAGTACCCAGCATTGATTTAATTATAAATACATTTATGCAGTAAATAATAGCTCAAAGGCTGAAACGTATATCTTAATTAGCTTTAGATCTGTGTAATCAAATTAAAATTTTATTAATAGTTATTGTATGGAAAGTCTCAATAAAATTAATTACTGCCTAATAAGGTCATGTATCATGTTCACATTGCCAAGATATTATATATATTATGAACCATCTGTGGTGTTTTGATGCACCATGAAATGCAACTCATTTCTAGTTTCTTAGAAGTTAGGTTAGGTTAGTTAGGTTAGGTTTGTTCTCTGTCTCCGTCTTGGTTTATCACCTTCCTTTTACCATCCTCACTTACTTAAATTAATCTTTCCTCCTTATTTAATTCATTGATATTACTAATAAGCCACTAACTTTTAAAACGTCTTCAAGATGAGTAATTTTCTATATAGAATTGTGAAATATGGTTTTCCCTATTCTGAATTGTTCCACAGTTAGACAAGTTCACACGAATAGAAGAATTCGCATCGTAATTCTGACGAATTCCACAAATGGGTTAACCAACTCCACTCCTTAATCCAATCAGATGGAATTCTACTTGGGTCTAGCTGAGATTCATTTGCACTGTCCACGGAAATGGTGGAGGCCACTTCTTCACGTATTAGGCTCTTCAAGTCGTCTCTTTATCCTTTCCTTAGCATCCCTAATCCTATTCTTTCGCGGGGTTTATATGTACAGGCATACCTCGGAGATATTGCGGGTTCGGTTCCAAACAGCCGCAATAAAGCGAGTCACACGAATATTTTGGTTTCCCAGTGCGTATAAAAGTTATGTTTACTCTATACTGTAGTCTATTAAGCGTGCAATAGCATTATGTCTAAAAAACAATGCGAGAATTACCAAAATGTGACACACAGACACGAAGTGAGCTCATGCTGTTGGAAAAATGGCCCCGATAGACTTGCTCGACGCAGGGTTGCCACACACCTTCAATTTGTAAAAAAAACGAAATATCTGCGAAGCGCAATAAAACGAGGTATGCCTGTACTCGTATTTATAATACCCTTTACCCTCCATTCGCTCTGTAGACTAATATACAAGTCATTCCTCTATCTGTTCTTCAAGAACTTCATTTACATTTCTAACTTTTAGTCGAATTCTGATTCACTAATTTATTTATAGCTTTTTTAACGACGCTTTAAGTAGCTCAGATGAATTAGTGCCTAATGAGAAGATGACATTAGTAATGAATTGCAAAGGATGTGGAGGGAAGCGGTCGTGGCCTAACTTACGTACTATCCAGGAATTTGCCTGGATGGACTGGGGAAAAGCACGATAACAGTCATCCAGGATAGCCGATCTCAGGGCAAAGATTTGAAACAGGGTCCTCCTGCAGGGATGCTAACCACTCTATTATGTCGTTAGTCGAGTTTTGATATATCAATTTCTTATCTTAGTGGCTAGATTAAAACCAACCATTGCTCTTAGAAATGTTATCTTTGCTGCCTATTCTCCGGTAATCTCTTAACACCCGAATTAGGGGGGGTACATATTTTCTGTATTATAGGCATTTATCGGTTGATTCAATTCTTCTGGGTTTTCGCGGCGTGGTTGCCAAAGTTTAGGAGAAATATATCTACTGTCATATTCAACCCTGAAGATTCAGACGAGTCTACACTGTGCCAAAATCTAAAAAAAAAATACGCCATAATCTTCTTCGTCATGAAAACCTCAAATCTCAAAAGTGCTTAATGGTTGGTGATAACTTTTTTTACTTGTTATAATCGTTGCCACTATAATTCTGATAAAGTATTTTGAGCCTCGTGGGATAATATTTATGACAATGCGTGCTTACTACGTCAGATTCTCTCGCCAATCTTGGCGGGTAATTACTAGTTGTTTAATTACACTACAACCACTTATTATGTCATAAAATTCAATATTATTTATAAATTGTCACTCAGCCTAATACATTATTATTATTATTAAATATTATTAAATAAATGAATTTAATTGAATTACTGTAAAACATTTTTTAACATGGGTAATGATTTCTTTGTCCCTCGCCCAAGTCACAAGCTGCAGAATCACCCCTTATCGGCAGTCCGATACTGTTTTTGAGGACGTCTCATCCATCTAGAAACATAAGAACGTGGTACGCAGTGGCGAAAAGGGACCCACATAACGTTATTTAAATTTGTCTTATATTTACTTTACAAGATGCGATGCTTTTTCTGTCATGGACTAACCATTTGATCTTATATTTACTTTACAAGATGCGATGTTTTGTCCGTCATGGACTAACCATTTGCATCTGAAGTATTTCACCCACAAAACTGATCACTGAATTAAAGTAAAAGTTTTTGTGTTCCGTAAATAATTCAATAAATAACCTTCGCATATTTTTATTAATTCTTTCAGAATATCTTCAATACAACTCGTGCTACAGAAAAGTTTCCAAGGACTGGGACAGGTGTGCCAACAGTTTCCTGGAGAGGGTAAACCACTCTTATGCGAAGGCCTTCGATATCTGCTGGTAAGCGACGGAGGAACTCTATTAAATTGAAACACTTGCACAACTACATAAGAATTTGTGCAAGTAGGCTATGAAACTGGACTGGGGCAGTACGAATTCCTAAGAACATACATTAAATATTCACAAAAGGGTGCTTGTCTTGCATTGGACTGCATTATGTAACACGGCTGAATACAGAGTTTTCGTAAACGTAAGCTATCAAACAGACTTCATTATTCAAGAGTCGTGTGACATGTGAAATATTTATTTACAGAGAATAAATTACTCATGCCAAGTGAAAAAGATTCAAAGGCTATACAATTCCCTAACTTAGCCGAGAGTTTACTAAAAAAAGAAACAACTCTAAGTACGTCCACAGAACTACACTCGGTTTGCCAAGTTTTGTGCAGTTACTGCCATCTGTCTACAATAAGTAGAGCAAAATTTTGAACTCAAAAATATAATATTTTTACCAGCGTTTCATAAGTGGTAAGATATTTGACGTGATAAATTTAGAACAATTATAAAAGTATTTCGTAAACTTCTAAGTCTGGTCTATTCTCTGCGCAAATACTTATGAACCTGATACTTTTCCTGATCAACAGAGTGCAGAATACAACAGCATTATTACTAAATGTTGCTTTCGTAATAAATAGTAATGATCCAGGAGAATAACACCTGTCCGTTCATGCCCTGAATAAATTATCTGACAACTCTCAGAAAATTCACATAATTTAATTTATAAACTATGCAATCATGAATTAATTTTTAACATTATAATTTTTTTGGTATTTTATCTACTTATCAAGTATGTGACTAATAACTTTGAAATTTACACACATCGTAACAATTCTCTCTCAGCCTAAATTTGACGTCATAGGAGACTCGATTCAGTGCATCTGAAGTATTTCACCCACAAAACTGATCACTGAATTAAAGTAAAAGTTTTTGTGTTCCGTAAATAATTCAATAAATAACCTTCGCATATTTTTATTAATTCTTTCAGAATATCTTCAATACAACTCGTGCTACAGAAAAGTTTCCAAGGACTGGGACAGGTGTGCCAACAGTTTCCTGGAGAGGGTAAACCACTCTTATGCGAAGGCCTTCGATATCTGCTGGTAAGCGACGGAGGAACTCTATTAAATTGAAACACTTGCACAACTACATAAGAATTTGTGCAAGTAGGCTATGAAACTGGACTGGGGCAGTACGAATTCCTAAGAACATACATTAAATATTCACAAAAGGGTGCTTGTCTTGCATTGGACTGCATTATGTAACACGGCTGAATACAGAGTTTTCGTAAACGTAAGCTATCAAACAGACTTCATTATTCAAGAGTCGTGTGACATGTGAAATATTTATTTACAGAGAATAAATTACTCATGCCAAGTGAAAAAGATTCAAAGGCTATACAATTCCCTAACTTAGCCGAGAGTTTACTAAAAAAAGAAACAACTCTAAGTACGTCCACAGAACTACACTCGGTTTGCCAAGTTTTGTGCAGTTACTGCCATCTGTCTACAATAAGTAGAGCAAAATTTTGAACTCAAAAATATAATATTTTTACCAGCGTTTCATAAGTGGTAAGATATTTGACGTGATAAATTTAGAACAATTATAAAAGTATTTCGTAAACTTCTAAGTCTGGTCTATTCTCTGCGCAAATACTTATGAACCTGATACTTTTCCTGATCAACAGAGTGCAGAATACAACAGCATTATTACTAAATGTTGCTTTCGTAATAAATAGTAATGATCCAGGAGAATAACACCTGTCCGTTCATGCCCTGAATAAATTATCTGACAACTCTCAGAAAATTCACATAATTTAATTTATAAACTATGCAATCATGAATTAATTTTTAACATTATAATTTTTTTGGTATTTTATCTACTTATCAAGTATGTGACTAATAACTTTGAAATTTACACACATCGTAACAATTCTCTCTCAGCCTAAATTTGACGTCATAGGAGACTCGATTCAGTGCATGCAATTGAAGAGTCTGTTGCCGGTGTCCGATTAACAAACTGAAATATACGACAAATTTTAGCAATATCAAACTTCATAACAATCTATTCAGCGGTTCTAAAGTTGTCATGTACCAACAGACAAATCTGATAGGAGAGTTTCTTGTAATAATTAAGTCTTATGGAAAACTATTTCGTTTCGTATAAAAAAGAGTCATCGAAGTATTTATTGAAATATTTCCCAGGTTGGTGGGTGACGTGCTTGTCTTCGACCGAATATCAGTTTCGATATCGTCTGAATTATCGATATTTTCGGAAAATCTCAAACTTATTCTACATATTTCAATTTAGCTCTGAATAAGCTTACCTGTATCGTACACATCAGGTGTTGACTCTGAGCTCTGAATTTATTCGAGTTCAGACTAGATCACAAACGCATATGAATGATCCTATAGTTTGTGCGACGAGTCAATTTAATAATTCTGACAAAGAATGTGTAATCTTTAAGCCGAAGACTACACAGCGCAAGAACCCAGAAGACAGAAATCTTCATACTCTGATGACGGAGGCAGTATGACCTCTGAAACGTTGGTAAACATCGACCAGACTACACAGCGCAACAACCCAGAAGACAGAAATATTCATACTCTGATGACGGAGGCAGTATGACCTCTGAAACGTTGGTCAACATCGACCAGACTACACAGCGCAAGAACCCAGAAGACAGAAATCTTCATACTCACTGCTGTGAAAACCTCAAATCTTACACATTTAACTTCGTCACCGTACAAAATCCAAGATATTATACAACAAATTTCTTCGTCGTACAGGTTACGTAATCTATCTCCTAATTAATGTCTCCTGGGTACAAATATTCTCGTCGTGACAATTTAGGATATTTCCGCCTTTCTCCTAATTGCATTAACAGTCTTCCGGGGCATGACTGGTTGTGTTTGACAGACGTATTGTGAGGCGGTTGGATTAATTTGACATGCTGTCTGTGATGTGGCAGGTTTCTGAAACACACTAAGAGAATCCTACCACATAGGGAATAGATATATCCCATCTGACCACAGACTTACTGCAGTTAGTTGTGTTCAGAAACTCTGACTTGTTGACGTAAACACATGAAACACTACCGTATGTACACCTTTCCACAAACTACGTACCATATAAACATTCAGGATCTCCCTCAAAAGATACTGATAATCCTTGTTCAGACGGGATTTCTTAACGTAAAATCAGAATGTTTAAAAGTGTTGAGAGGACTTAGACCGTGTCTCTGTGGGACTAACGAATCCACTGTTCATCCAAGAGGAATCACATGATTAAACATGGAGCAGCTGTGGATTTATAGTGACAGGGGAAAACCAAGGAACTCGCAGATAAACCTGTCCTAATGTCACGCAATTCCTAAATGGACTGACCTGGGTATTAACCCAGGCCTCTGCTCTGAGAAGCCAGCGATTAATAACCTGAACTATGGAATGTCCCATATCTAACGTTACAAATACATATTTTATTCATAGAAATTCGACTTAACATAAATGATGGTAATATTATAATGGAAATTAAGTGCGTATTGGTTACCTATCATAAGGGAGATGATAGTCCTGATAATGGAGGTAACAGGCACCACCAAAATGTTGGTAAACTTCTACAATTCTGAACACCACGATCTATACCAGGGGTACTCTAGAATTGTTCATACTTGAGGCGACATCAACCTCGTAATATCTACAAGATATGAAGATTATGAAGAAGGCATTTAAAAAAAGAACCATTGAAATTTATTAAAAAATGCTACAAACCGAATTAGACGTAACAATTAAAATAGGTTCAGATATTTCTCAGTACTTCGATGAATGAAACAGCTTTTACTAGAAAAATTATTTCAATATAATCTTACGTTGTTACGATTAGCCAAATGTAAATGTATTTTAGTGGATGTATATTCCATATTTTAGTAACGGTTATTATATTTTTTATAATTTTTGCGGTAATTTAAACAACCCTAAGCGTAGACTCAAAGATCAAACCAACCGTATTTTCATTTCGTAACATTTAGTAAGTGACAATTGATTTAGGATTTGAGATTTTCGCGGCGAGTACAATCAAAATCTTCTCGGGTAATCAACCACGTTAGCTGGTTACCGTAGTAAACCGACGTTTCGGGAACCAACTCTGTCCCCATCACCAGGATTCTGATGTGACTGGATACCTCAGAAGTCGACTGCGTATATACACAGGCGAATTCCGAGGTTGATTAGTTGATTTTATAAAAATAAATCATTTACTTGTTCCTTCCACAGAGCCAGTCACTGTACGAGGTGCGATCGGAAAGTTTCTAGACTGCGCGTATAACATCCCGTACACTTATCTCAGGTATTAAATTCATCCATCACCCTCGAAGTAGTTCCCCTGGGAGTGAACACAACGATCCCA